GAACTGTATTAGAGCTTTGTTTTTTAAACTAGATCTTGGATAATATCAAATTTTAAAAGTAGACATCACTTTGAAGTACATTAGAAAAAATTGATTCTTTTTTTTTTCTGTTGTAAGAAAAGAGTAAAGATGCATCAATATAAAATAGGTATTCTGATGTTTGGTTGCAAAAGACTTATTGGCAACAGCGAAAAGGAAGTGTCTTTCATTTTACTCTGTATTTGCTCTATTTTATGTTATGTTAAAAATATGAAAGATACAAATTATTAAGGAGATTAGAGCATGTAAGTATATTTTCAGTTTTGCTTACTCTGCTTTTAAGTTTCTGTGATTACAAAAGCATGAACCATTTATGAACTTTAAATTGTGAATACTTTATTAATCTAAAGTAGCTTTTGGTCACAGCAAAAGTAGGATTTTGAATTTTGTAACTTAAAGACTTTACAATTTTGGGTGATATTCACAAAAGAGTGTTGTAGTCAAGGAGAAAATACTCATTTCTCTAATTACAATACAAAGGCCCCTTATCCTAGGACTGCTTTTCAAGGAAGGCTCTCTTGCTAACTGATCCCTGTTATGATCTCTTGAAGTTGTTCGAGGTTAGCTGAACTTGGGACTTCCTAATTTTTTTCAAATTGACTCTGAAAGAGATACTTCTGTGGCTACATATATTTTGTAGGGGTTTATATGCATGGAACTGAAATGTGCTGATCATGCCATATTATGCGACAGCCTGATAAATACTTTTCCAGTGCTGTGAAAAAACTTACTTTTCATTTTAAGCTCTTGGGAAGAAGGAAGAGAGATGCTTTCAAAAACTGCACACATGCTTCTGAAATATTTTGATGTTTTCATATGCTTCTGTTAACTTCAGGTCAGGACTAAAATTACTGTATTAAATGTATTCCTTTCTGAAGGAGTTTAAAGATGCTGAATTTAGCATGTAGACAGCATTGGAAAGATATTAACAAGTCATCTAGAATTTGTATGTCATCTAACTTGAAATAGTTATGTGATGAGAGGACACTTTCTGGAAAAAAAAAAAAAAAAAAAAGTAAGCTGTTTCTTTTCAAATCAATGTTTTTATAGGTGCTATGTTTTGCTCCCACTAGTGGCAATGTGGTAATAAACAATCTTGTTCAGAACCTCTTGTTCAGACTGGCAGAAATGCATCTCTTGAAGGTATTACTGAGAATCTGAACAGAGCTGGTAACAGTCTTTGTGAAGATTTGCCTTATCCACTTCTGAGGTGTTGTTATTTAAGCACCATTGATTACTCAAATATGAAGATTAAAGATAGTCATGCAGAAGAGAACTGAAATAATGTGTAAGGGAATCTGAATGTTATGTTAATTGGAAAAAGAAAACAAGGAAAAAAAATTTTTTTTTTAAATCATATCCCTTTCATTTTGCCCGTATATTTTTACAGCCTCAGGTTATGTTGACCAGGTATAACGGAAGCCTAATCAGTATTTCATGATTGTGAGGTTTAGCCTTTATCTTGATCATTGAATTCATATACCTGACTTTAGTATCTTGGAATATTCTATTTGGGAATGCAGAAGCGTTAAATAATGTTGTTCAGAAAAGCTTGTTTATGACGAAACTAGGAAGGATCCAGCAGAGGACTACCAAAATGATCAGGAGCCTAGAGCACACCTCCTCTGAAGAGCAGCTTGAGGGAGCTTGACGACTTTAATTTGCCAAAGAAAAGGCAACAGAGGCAATGTAATAGCTGCTTAATAGTTGAAGGCCAAGTTGGTGCAAGAAGGGTGGAGCCAAACTGTTCTTGTAGTGTTGGGTGGTACAACGGAACAATGGCCATGAGTTGTGTCTCCTCTAAAACCTTTGAATTTTAAACTTTGATTTTAGCTTCACTCAGATCAAACTACATTCAAAAGATCTTTTATGCTGCAGAACTCTAAACCAAACAAGCAAGTATGGGAAGTTTAGGTTGGGCATTAGGGGGAAAAAAATTTCACAAGGAGGATAAATGCAGCACTGGAACAGGTTACTCAAAGGTTGTGGAATCTCTGTTTTGTAAATGTGTCTTTTAAAGACCTGGCTGTGCAGAATTACAGCTGATCTGATCTAGTGTTGGTGATAGTCCTGTCTGAGTGGAAAGCTGGGTTAGATGATCTCCAGAGGTCTCTCCCAATCAGTGTTTCTGTGATTGTTCATTTCCTGTTGGTAAGTAACTGTAGCTGCATCTGAAGTTTGGGGTGATATATCCTGCCCCGTGGTCTTTTCCTTAATCATTCAGTGAGATCTGGGAGACCTATTAAAGCATAACGTGGCTTCTTCACAGCGTGCGTATTTCTTTCTGATGGAAAGTCCAGTTTGTGGGGAGGATGGTGATTGTTTACATTTCATCCTGGTATACAACCAAAGGATGGCCAAAGTGCATTCCCATACCTAGGAGTGGAAAGTACTCTCTCCTCCAGTTCTAGAATATATTGCTTGTTTGGTTTAGAGTTCTGCAGCATAAAAGATCTTTTGAATGTAGTTTGATCTGAGTGAAGCTAAAATCAAAGTTTAAAATTCAAAGGTTTTAGAGGATATTTTCAATTTCAATTGAATGTTCTTGTTGTGCAGATTACAAGTTCTTGCCTTCCATTTTTATACTCTTAAATTGCAAAAGATGTTTTTAATTTGTTGCTTTTGCTTTGCTGCTTAGCTCTTACATAAATACGTAAAACATTAAGTTACATCACATTTGAAATAATTTTTTGTTGTTGTTGAATAAGACAAGCTCAGGGTCTCGTTGGTCTCATTCCTGTAAAATTGTTATGCAGATATATTATTTGACACCTGTAGAATATCACCATACATCAGAATTCCGCAAATCATGCCCTTACCCCCAAGTATACTTCTCTGTCACATCTAGAATTTTGCAGTAAAGGAACTTATTATCCTAAATCCTTTAGAACAGTTTTAGCAAACTATTGTTACTGCTGTCAACCTCAGGACTAATGGATTGAGCAGGCTGACAGTGAAAGTAAAGGCTGGGGCTTTTAAAAATAGATTTGACATCAGATATCAAAAAGGTTTGTTGTCATTGCTATGAAGCATAGCTCAGACTTAACGGAATTCCTTTATATTGATCGACTTTTGGTAGTACATTAAAGGTGTTGCCTTGAACTCAGCTACCATTTTACGCTGCCTACCGTTCTACACAACCACTCTCCAAAGTCACTACCTAAAGTTAGGAACAGCTAAGTAGTTGGTTAATCGGCTCATGAACAGCTACAGCCTTATATAATGTGATTGTATTAGCTTGATCTGGAAGAGATGATGGTGCCTTTCCTCAGTTGATGCAGCTTAATCTGCCCTAAACCCTTAAGCCTTTGATTCTCACAGCTAAAACGGTGCACCTGGTTGGTAAGGATAAGTATATTAAAAGTCTGGCACCTTAATAATTTTAAAACAAATAATCTATATAATTCATGCTTTCCTATTAACAAGTACACAATGTGGTACAAATTGCATTTATTTTTTAAATAGTATTTTGGTGTCAGCCTTTCAACCTTCTTCTTCCGTAAAGGTATTGTAACGATATTGCAGATACTTGTGTTAATAACACATGATGGAATCTCTCAAACTGGGAGTTTGGGACTTACGGGAGAGATTGACATAATTGAAAGTTCTAGACCTACCTGTTTGGTTGGATACTTGAATTTTTATAATATCAGGTTTCAATCAAAAAACTTAATTTTACATCCCACCTGAAAAATTAGAATATAGTAGTTAATCATCAGTTTCTCAGCACTGTGAATGAAAGCGTATTGGGGAAAGCTAGAAAATAAACTGTTAAATACTGAAAATGCATCTTCTGCATAATAATTCTGCTATTTCATGGGTATAAACATTTGTAATGAATGTCTTTAAGGTATAGAGTGATTCTTCTTGTCTTAATTAGATATTGCTATGTATGATCTTTTAAAACTGAGTCTTAAAAGGAGAGTAGATGATATTCCCAAAAATAAGTTTAAATTAGTTCTGGAATTCTAATGACATTTTCTTTTTTTGTATGAGGAGGAGTTTAATGGAAACAAATACAAGAAGATGTATTTAAGCAAAATTATAAACATTTCACCTTCCTAGGTAATGCTGGCTTTAACTCCATTTATTAATTGATTTTTAGTGAGCTTTAAAGGTAGAATTTCCAAGCATCTGCTTGTAATTTTTCTTACTATTTGCAAGAGTAACCGGCATGAATAAAAGGACACGGAAGGCAAGAAATTCAGGAAGTTGTTAAACTGAGCTACAGAACTGCAGGTTTTATGAGCACAAATAGTTAAGTCTTAGTAAAAGACAAGTTTGCAAATTGGACAGAAGTGCTCTTAAAAAGTTCATCTAACCGTTGTATGAATATGGAGGATGAAGGCCTATTTTTTTTATCTACGTAGAGGAAAAAATGCATCTTAGCCATGATACTAATTAAGAAATTCTTTCAAGTTATCGAAGTTTTCTGTAAGTAACTTGATATCAATTTTTTTTACTGCTCATTTCAGGATTTCTTAATCTGTTTAAAACTCTTGAAAGTACTTTGTTTTAGAAGAGCCAAATAACTTTAAGCTGATAGGCAAGAACATTTCTTGCCTCTTTAGGAGAAAAGAGGGTGCTGGCTCTGAAGTCAGCCCAGTACCTGTTTCCCAGAAACCTCAGCAAGTGGCTCTGCTATAATAATACTGTGAGCCTACTGGTCTAAAATGGTTTGTCGTCATACTGCTATTTAATGTAATTAAAATAATAGTGTGAATCCAGTGATCTTTACATAAATGTATTTGTTCAGCATATATAGCGGATTTTTTGTGGTGGATAAGGACAAAAGAAATGTGTTTTGTCTGGTGTTTCCTCTTTTTTTTTTTTTTTAAGAAGTTAATAGTTAAACCAGTTTGCTTTAAAGTATGCTAAATGCAACTTACAGCCACGCTTTTTCTTTGGAACGCTTGTAATAAGCTGTATCGTCACAATTCTTATTAAATTTTTTTTTTAAGGGTCAAGATGGATAGCACAGATGAACCTCAGAAAAAAGTCTTTAAAGCACGAAAAACAATGAGAGTAAGTGATCGACAACAACTTGAGGCTGTTTATAAGGTTAAAGAAGAGCTTTTGAAGACAACTGAAATAAAACTGTTAAATGGAAAGCATGAGAATGGAGATTCTGATTTAAATTCCCCTTTAAGCAATGCAGACTGTGTGGAGGACAAAAGGGAAGTTAATGGCCTAGTGGATTTGTGTCTCAACTCTGAAGAAGGAAGAAGAGATTCTGAGGAAATTACTGATGGCAAAAGTCCTGAAAGTAGGGCAGAGAACATAGTCAATGATCTAGAATCTAAACCTCACGCGTTATCTCCAGAGAATGTTTTTGCTGAGCAAGATCAAGATACAGATGATATAGCTTTAGCCTGTGAGGCTGAAAACAGAGTGCTTGTTAGTAATAAAAACAACTTCCATGAAGAAAATAATACAAAAGATCATTTGGACCAAAGAAAGAGTGACATCCCATCAGAAGGGGAAAGTAAATTAAGCTGTGATATTAGTGACTCTTCTGAAGAGAGAAGTGAAACAAATGACTTAACTATTAGTTCTGATTTACCGGTTGAAGAAAAGAAGGCTGAAGAAGTTACCGTTGAAGATGCTGTTGGAGAAGAGGCGATCTCTAGCAGTATGGAAGCCGACCAGGAACCAAAGGATGAAGGGGATGACATTGCAGATCTTTCAGAAACCACCGTTGAGAAGACAATAGATGAGCCAAGTGAGAGTATCGTGGAGAATACAGACTCCATGGAAACAGATGAAATTATTCCAATTTTGGAAAAATTAGCCCCTGCTGAAGATGAACTAAGCTGTTTTTCTAAAAGTCCTCTGCTTCCAGTGGATGACGCAGCCCCAGATTTAGAAGAGAAAATGGACAACTCTTTGGGTTCACCATCCAAGCAGGAAAGCAATGAAAGTCTGCCTAAAGAGGCTTTCTTAGTACTGTCTGATGAAGAGGATCCTTGTGATGAGAAGGAAGAAGGTCCTGAAGTGATACTAACAAACAAGTCAAGTCTTCCAGGTAAGACTTGTTTAAATTGGTCGTTTTGATTAAGTCTTGGATTTTGTTCGTTCCTCACTTAGAACAGCACGCTTGTGACACGTTTCGAAGTTAATAACTGACAATTTCAGTCTTTCAGGTATATTTTGGCTGGATTATGTGGATTTTTACTTCAAAGAACTGCATTGAAGTAATGAATTTTAGGAGCATGTGAAATTCAGATGAATATTTTTGCAACTGATGGTGATAAGACACATTCAATGATGAGCTCTTTAACTTTTACCAGAACTTCACCAGTGTGAGCATTTATTCTTTAATTAGCTTTGCAAGCATCAAATATACAACATGGAAAGCATTAAAAACATATTTTAGTATAGACAAAGCTCTAAGTGCAGCAAAAAGGAGATAGCCAACAGCTGTTAGCAGCACCTTACCCTGGCATCAGTTAAAGGAGTAAGATTAGCTTTGACTTTTGCCATACTAATTCTTGATTGTTTTTCTCACCCCCTTCCATTCCTAAAAAGATGAACAAGAACTATTAAAATAAGTTGGATTACTGTCATACACAAGTAATCAATAAATCTAACAGTATTTCTGATGATACCCTTCGTTTCATCTGTTTCTCTCTGCAACTAATTTAACTTGAGGATGCTTTTCTGACAAAATATGTTAGTAGTACTGTATGTTACAAAGGGGGGACACACCACGTGGGACACTGTTTCCAAATTCGTGCACTGTCATAGTATTGCCACATCCACAGCTAAAACAGCAATTAATATCCTTAATTCATTCCTATTCTTTCCTTTTTTTTCTAGTTCTCGCTCTCAGGTGGTTGCAGGAAATACTAGAAACAGTTTACCAACCGTAGCTTTTTTTTCTTGCTCATATAAGCACATGTTCACAAGCCTAACAAAAGGCAGTCTTATCCACCAGTCTTATGTGGTCTTACAATTTGAGGGATGGAGTTTGAGAGCCGGAAAGAAGAAATGCCCCCTCCCCAGTTGTCTTGTTGTAGATTGTTTTTTCTCCTGCTCTTTACAAATTAGAGGGATGGAAGAAGAGGAAAGAAGAGTGATTGCCAGGCATAGTACAGGACTATTTGTGGGAAAATTGTATTCTTTTATTATTATTCTTGAGGGGAAGAAAGGGTTTCAGCTTTCTTTGACACTCGGATAGTAAGAACGAAAACACGTTGGTAATCCAGACCTAGTATAAGTCGTGCTTGCTTCATCTTTGTCCTTTTTTTCAGCAAATTACAATATTAGAAAGATTTTAACAAAAATGCAAATCAGTATGATGGATTTCATGCCATATAATTCTATTCATTTAAGTCATGGTGACTGAGTTAGAAAAATACTACTTTTTATTCAACTAGTATAGTCAGCGGATGGCACTTAAAAGTGCTGAAGCTGGTACCTTAGATTCCTCAAGTAGTTAGCAGTCAACAGTTGGATTCTTGACGTTAAACTGCATTAACGTTCTCCATACTCTATTTTTGTCAGGCAGTTTTGTAAGCATGTTTATTTTTTGGACATAAGGCTCTCGTTGTCATGTTATTGCACTTCTGAAAACAAAATAGCTGAGTAAGTTGCAGGTAAATTGACACTACTCTCTTACTTGTGGTCAGAGAAAGTTGTCATTTCAATTCCCCTCCCCTCCCCCAACTATGTAGCTTTTTATGAAATGTTGACCAGGATAACCCAAATGTGTTTAATCATGCCTGGCCAGATAGGGATTCCATAGATTAGAGGTGTCTCTCAGTCTCTGGGAAGTTTTGCAGATGATGAAACTGCTCCTTTCACATGTTTGTAATAGCATTCTGAATCTCCAGTTTTTAAATAATTGAATAATTGGAGAAAGGGAGATAAGCTTATGTCTCATTGACCTCTTTTTCTGGTCTTTACCTGTAAATTTATGCCTGTTAAATGGAGAAAAGGTAGGATTTCTAGTTTCTCTTGAGTAGTGTTGGTCTCTCTTGAGTGGATTTTGTTTTAAGTGTTAATGTCAGTGTTCCACTGAGGTTGCAAAAATGATATTATTGTTGTGTAATTAAAGTCTTACAGAAACTTCCTGAGATGGTGGGGGGTGGAGACAAGGAGAAAGAAAACTGTGTGTATGCGCAAAAATCTTAGAAGTCTGAGTCCCTTTTATAAAATAGGAGTTATAAGCGAATTAGTCCTCCTTGTTCTCACCCCAGTTAAAGGCTTCTTTCATTGGAGATGAATAAAATCGGGATATCCGGGTTGGTTGTTTTTTGTTTTGTTGTTTGTTTGTTTGTTTGTTTGTTTCAACTTTATCCAATCAGGAAGCATGCTGTGGTCACAGAGGAGTTTTAGCTATGAAATGGAAAAAAATATACATGAATATTAAGTGTTGTTTGCAAACAGTACATTTTGCAAAAGTTTAAAATGACTGTATCCAACAATATTTTTCAGTTTTTGCTACAGAGAAAATGTTATACTTGAATTCTTTGGTAGTTGTTTTATTTGTCAGCTATAACAGTTTGACTTCTACAGTTGCATTGACTTAATTGAGACTATTTGTGAAGTGAAAACTGGCCACTGTCAGTGGCTTAACCAGCAGTCCTGTGTTAATTTCTGTGTTCTGAATTTCTTAAAACTTTGCCGTTGAGTTGCAGAGAAGGGAGTTTAAACTTTTATCTAAAGAGTACGTTCTGGATGAAATGTTTCAAGTAAGTCTTTTGGAAGCCCATCTTGTACTAAATTTAACATGCTGTTAATGTAAGATTCTGCAGTCCTTTCACCAGTAAGTCTTCCAGACAGTAGCAGATCATATCAAAGAGGTTCCCAGGGACAGGGAACGCAAACATAATGAGAAACCAGGTAGACTGAACAAATGCCATGGTATGGTGGAGCATAGAGATTAAATTCTTGGGCAGAGTCAATGAGAATTAAGTCTGTCAGTGATGTGGAGATTATTTAAGGATGCTGTATTGGGCATACAAGTGCAAACAGCTCAATTAAAAAAGATGGTTGTGAGAAAGCCCAGAAGAAAATCCGCGTGGCTAAGTAGCAGGGTAAAGAATGTCACTAGAAGGCTTCCTTCAAAGGGGCAATGGCAGCTTCCCTCCCCCTCCCAAGGAGAATTAGTAAATGTAATAGCTATGTTAACACTTCTCCTTTAGGTTTTTTTTTTTTTTTTTGTAATGGGAGGTCATACCTTAGAAAACCTTGGCCCTCTTTAAGAAAACGAGTGCATGGACAAGGAAGATCTGATTTTATGTATTTGAATTCTTTTGGAAATCCAACTATAGATGATTTCTCACCAAAAACTTACAGAACTTGAAGTGCTTTGGGTTAAGATGGAAAGTCCTCATGCAAGAAATAGTTGTTTGAAGGATGGAAAATAAATCCACAGGATTCTGTTCCAGAGCCTGTGCTGCGCAATGAAATTCATAACTTAAAGAAAAGAGTGAATAGCAAGGTGACAGTTTGTTGATAGCACTGTGAAGAACTGTAGAAGAATCTTATGAGTGACTTGGCCATAAAAATGGAAGATGAAATTCACTGTGGTTAAATGCAAAGTGATATATGTGAGTAGGAAAAGAAATGCAACTTGATAGGAAGATAAATTGACTGGCTACTCAAGAACAGTCTTCCAGGATTATGGCAGGTAGTGCTGGGAATACACTGATTCAGTAGCAGTTGAAGAAAGCAAATAAGAGTGCTGGGAATACATTCTGAATACATTCAGAAATTGAGGAAATAGCTATGGCACTAAATAAGTCTTGTGGGACACCGATCTTGTAAGTGTTTTGCATAATTCTGTTTCCCTTCCCCGTCTTAAAGAAGATGTCATAGAATTGGAAAAGGTACATGGAAGAGCAACAGGGAAGATCATGAATCACAGAGTAATTTACAGTAGCCCCTCTGGTGGTCTCTATTCCAAGCCTCTGCTCAAAGCAGATCCTGTTAGATCAGATGGCTCAGGAACCTTGGCAATTTACTTCTGAATATCTCTGAGGATGGATATTCTACAGCTTCTTCACTGGGCAACCTAATATTTGACCAGCCTCAAGGGGAAAAAGCTTCTCCTTGTATCTCATTGGAATCTTCTGTGTTCTAACTTGTGTTCGTTGCCTCCTGTCCTATAGTGTGCACCTTCAAGATTAGTGGCTCCATTTTGTCTGTACCCTCCCATTAGGTAGTTGCAGTCAGTGATCTCCAGTTAATCATCTCTTCTTAAGGCTGAGCAAACCCAGGTCTCCCATCTGCTCCTCAGATAGCACGTGTAGCTGTCCAACCCCATGACCTTCTTGGTGGGTCTCCACTGTTTTTGCTGTAGGTTGTCGGTGTCTTTCTAGTACTGGAGATCCCAGAACTGGACACAGTGCTCCAGAGGGATTTCTCAAGTGCTGAACAAAGAGAAAGAATCATTCTCCTTACTTGCTGGCTATGTTCTTGCTAATACAGCCTGGAATGCCGTTGAACTTATTTCCTACTGCTGACTAATGGTTCAGCTTACTTTCCACCAGTAATCAAGGCCCTGTTCTACAAAGCTACTTCCTATCCAGTCAGCTCCTAGCCTGCCCTGTTGCATAGGGTTGGATATTCCATCCCGCGTGCAGGGATCAGCATTTACGTTTGCTGTGCTTTGTGTCAGGCCGTTTCTCCAACCTGTCAGGGTGCCTCTAAATAACAATTGTGCTCCATAGCATAGCAGCCACTCCTCCCAATTTGTTCTCATCTGTGAACTTGTTGAGTATGATCTGCTGGCTGCTGTCCATGCCATTAATAAGTTAAACCATATTAGCCCCAATACAGATCCCTGAGGGCTACCACTAGTATTAGGCCACCTGTTGGACTCTGTACCACTAAGCCCAACGGTCCAATTGGTTTTCCCTCACCTTATCATCTGTCTTTCCACTGCATCTCACCTTGATTTGACTACAAGGATGTGGGAGACCATGTCAAAGGCCTTGCCAAAGTCAAGGTAATAAATGATATCCACTACTCGCCATTTGTTCACACAGTAAGTCGGCACATCATCAAAAAAAAAAAAAAAAAAAGAAAAAGCATGTTGTGTTCCATGGAAAAAAGATCTGATGGATAGAGACCAAAAGCTGAAAGCCTTTTGCCCTCTTCTCTTGAGCCTGGAAAGTTTGTGGCCTTACGCTGTCCTGATCTTGGGAGTCATTATCATTAAAGATGAGGTGAACGTACCACATGCAGTCATGGTTGCTAATAAGCCACATGTGAGCATTATTTCCAGTAATTAAGACAATGATATTCCAGAGAAGACTGTTAAAATATGTATAGCATTTTAGAATGTGCAATAACATTTTGACTCAAAGGGAAATGGATGAACCTCATCACAGTACCATTCTCCTGGGCAGACTTTCGCCTGAGGAATATGTCTTGATGTGGATTTTGTGATACATACCGAATTTTTTTGCTACCATGTAGAGCCTACCATGGAGGCATACAAGCAGTCCTTTTAGATTATATGCAGCTCTTCTTCCTCTGTTTAGAAAGAACAGTGCAGATTTTCAAAGTACTAGGCAATGTTTATGATGCACCCTGAAGATTTAAGTGCAAGTGCCTTATAGAAGGTGCTTTGAAGAGCTGGATATCCTTCTTAGCTCAGCACTGAAATCTGACAGGTTTCTCATTCTGGAAGACTTCTGCGTATGTGTGGAGAAAGATGCTATTGCTTGGCTTCGTGTGATAGGACAATACGGGATTGCAAATGTCAGTGTCAATATAAATATTTTTAGCGTGTGTAACCAAGCATGAGCCTTTGACAAACCTTTTGACAGCACCTTTTGACAAACGTATGCCCGTAAGGTATACTGAATGCATTTAAGATATCACCAGTGTCATCTTATCAACAACAGCAATATGAGCTGGAGGTTCTTAGCAGATCTAGAAGGGCTAAGCCCCCAAAAATCCCAATTTCTGCAGTGAGCGTAGGGCTTTGACCAAAAGCTTTTGGCATGGTGGTAGCAGTAGAAAAACTACTTTTTGGGTTGCTCTTTATATTATGCAAAGCAGATTAAAAGTCAGCAGATCTCTACCTCATTTTCTCACTGTTTAAAAACCTGATTAAATAAGACTGTGTTCTTCTACTTGTCCTGTTATGGACTTACACAAGTTAATGGATGTTAGGTTAGGAAATCTGAAAACTTCAGATGGCCATCAGAATTTTCCTTTGCAGTGCAGGAAGGTAATTTTCCCAGTTTCCTAGACTCGAGGTTGTGTGGCATACAGTAGAGGAACTCTTGCATACCACTGGTTGTATACTACTGGCCAACTACAAGTAAAATCATTTGATAAATGGGTGTGTTGCTTCCACGGCTAGCTTTTAAATTTGTCATCAGTTTGAGGAAGACAGAGGTTGTGTGTGAGCTGGACCTGGGAAGAGCG